GTAGAAAAGTGCTACATAAGAACCAGTCCACTTACCATTCCAAATTAATCAACAAGTGACACAACACGCAGAAGATACTAGAATTGAATGACAAGCAGTTTTATGTGTGTGACGTGAGGACACACGTACACAAGAGGGGACAATATTTGTTAGGCTGAAAGCCCCAAATAAACCTTTCACAGAGGGGGGGGCAAATCAACAATTTGATTCTCTTTTAAAAGAATGGATAACAGAAAGGCCAGATTAGACTTTGTTGAGAATATCTAAAACAACCTACAAGATCAGACAAGATTAAAAATAGCTGAAAGAATTATGTGAGGAGAAAAAATAAAAGGAAAGAAAGCTCATGTCAAACAGGCTGCCATTAGTGTTTGTTGATAAAGTGACTCCTCATACAAATAGAAGGATGAATTGTGAAGTGTACAGTGCTATACTGTCCTTTGCACTTTGCAGTACAAATGGATAATGACCCAATGCATACTGTAAAAGCAACCCAAGGGTTTCTCAATGCAATGGCCAAGTCAGTCACCTGATCTCAACCCATTAAAGCATGTTTCTCAGTTAGTAAATACAAAACCAAGTGCAAAGACCCACAAACAAGTCTCAGCTGATGGTAAAGCCCTAGCAGAGCATCTCAAGGGACAAAACACAGTATCTTGTTATGTCCCTGGATTCTAAACATCAGGCACTCATTTAAAAATGTCTGAAAGATGTTAGTTTGTCCAGTTACTTTCGAGCCTCTGAAAATGTTGGACTGTGTGTACCAATTACTATAAATCCTAAACACTAAAAACAAAACTTTAGTTAAACCCCTTGAATTAAATTATGAAAGTCTGCATTTCAATCACACCTTGAATGTTTGATTTAAAATTCTCCATAGTTGTGGACAAAGGCAAAACAGTCAGGTCCATAAGTTTGGGGGCAATGACAAGTTTGTCGATGCACAAAAAAAGATTATTGTAATATTTAATAAAGGCCTTATTTCATTGTATGAATATGTTTAAAAAATAAGCGTTTTAGAATGTAATGTTAAATGTAAAAATGTGTGCAGATTAGCTCAGAACTCTTTTCGCTTGCCAAACATCTGGAGGATTGGGCATTGAGATGAGACAACAAAGCCAGTGGTGCTAAAAAAACTGGGTTAGATGCCTACCTTTTGAAATACAAAATCGTATGAATATAAAACAGTGTCCAATGCTTTATTGCAGTTTTTTAAAGTAGGAGAACAGTCTGCTATGTAATTACAAATGTCTTGGGAATGAGGATGGAATAGGAATTTAGAACATGGCTGCTGCTAAAAACTGCAAAAGACAAGCTGATTTGCACTGTTTTCTTTTTCTGCTGGGATAAAAAGGATGCCAGTCAGAAGTCTGCATAGAATATAATGTAATTATCGGCAAAATGAACACGTATTCACAAAATACTAAACCGAGAGATTGCAGCATTACGAGTGTTACCTGGGAGATAAGTCAGGGTCACAACTCTTATTTTTTAGAACTGTAACCTTTTTTTAACAACACTGAAACATATTCTCCTTTATTTTTTCACGTGACGAAATCTGGCACAACACTGCTGTCAGCTTTAAAATGTTTTATTTGCATCTATATTCACGATGCTGTCCTCTGTACCTTGCTTATGTGACAAGACTTAAATTTAATATAAAACTGTTGATACATTCAGTTCTGTCCATTAGTTTTTGGACAGTTGCACATATAGACCAGCACAGTTTTAATTGAAATAGCCAAGATGTGATTGAACTGCAGACTTTCAGCTTTAACTCAAAAAAGTTTCATAAAAGAAGTGCAATAATTTTTTAGGACTTGCAGCCATTTTTATACATAGTCCTTTTCAGAGGCTCAGAAGTAATCTGAATTGAATGACAAGACGTTTTATGGCCAAATGAGGTCTCTTCCCTTATTATTCCATGGCAAATTATGCATATAAAACATGTTGAGTTGATTCCAAGCGTTGAACTTGTAATTTGTAGTTTCAGCTTTTCTCTGACATCTCAAGATGAGGTCCGCAGAGATGTCCGTGCAAATAAAGGAGGACATCATTAAACTGGAAACCCCAAATAGAGCTATGAGGGAGATAGGAAAAACTTTAAGAGTGGCAAAATCAACAATCTGGTACATAGAAAGACCACAGAAGACAACTAAAGTGCATGACTGCAGGACTATTTCTCCTTGACTGAAATAAAATCCTTTGAAATATCCATCCAATAACCAACAAACTGATTTTTTATTTAAAACACTCTGTATAGGTGTACAGAGGCAAAATGTAAAGAAAAATGTGCCATTTTCCAAAAAACCTATGAACCAAACACTGTTTCCACATTAAGAAACTGAACGGGATGGTAACTATGAGCAGTATAGGATCCCATAGTCTTTACATGTACTCATAATGCTATAATATAATTCCTGATCAAATGCAGTGAGGTAGTTGAGTGACTTGGTTTTATCTTAGAATATGTCAAATCAAATCTGAGGCCTTTTTATTTCCAGAATTGTTCTCGGTTTCTTAAAAATGCCCCCCTGCTACCATTTCAGGGGTTGTGTGTCAAAAGCTTTGTCATCTAAGTAGTCAGGTACTGAAAACTTAAGCACATCCACAGTATCAGTATGACATTTGTTATCAATTATATACTCTCAGATTAAAAAATATGGATGTTTTTGTTGCCTCGTAAAATCTTATGAGAGCCAGTATAACAGTCATGATGACATCTTCTTTACTACCACTCTGCCAGCAGCTACTGAGCAGCAAAGATGGCAAAATGGAAGGAAAGCAGTAGCAAAAGCTATGAGGGAATGCAAGAAGTTGAAAAGATGGGCTGGATAAAAGCAGAGAGGAGGTGGAATAGCAAATTGTACCATGATAAGAAATGGCAAGCATTGATGAATCACTGCTCTCACAACTGCCTTGGCTCAGATGGTTGTGAAATGTTTAAAATCTGGTTAAATCGTTTGAAATATAAGAGCCCACTGAAGGCTGCAGCATGCTGTAATAGATTTGAACACGCCAGAATCGGAACACAGACTAGCCTGTCAATCATGTGTTAGCTGCAAAGGTTTCACTGCTTCCAAGGAGAAGTGGAAAACCTTTGCTTAACCTCAATTACAGGAAATGATCTCTAATGGGTTTCGCTCCACAAAACTTCAGACTTCAACTGAGAATGCAAACCTGACTCTGCAGCTGTGCTTGCATTTAAAGAAGAAGATCCAGGCTACCTATAGGGCACAGAAATGTGGAATCCATGCAAGGAATTTATATATCATGGTTCTTTATCATGGAAATCTTCCAGGCTGCTGGTCAACGAGCAAATCTGCTGGCAGAAGTCAGGTGTAAGAGCACTGCCACACAGACAATCGGATCTCACCACCCACTATAAAGTGACTGGCACGCTCACACCACTCAAAAGAGTCCACAGCTAGGAAGGCCCACCCATCCCCACAGCCAGATATTCCCCTCACGCCAGCTGACAACCCATGTGCGCCTTCTAGCGGCGTTCCAAGTTTGCGTGTGCGTGCACGCCTGCAAACGGTGACCTTTCGTTCACTAAAGCACCACTGTGACTTACGGTAGAAAACGTATTCTGTGTAGCTGGACCAGATCTTGTCCTCTGTGTGCTGGTTGACGAACGAAGCTGTGACTGACGAGTTGCAGGCCACCATTTGGAAACCACACTCCGACAGCATGTCAAAAGCTCTCTCCAGGTGCTTGAACTTGAGGTAAAACCGGGAGGTGTACCGATCCGGGGTCCTGTCCGGGTCCCTGCTCTCGTTCAGCGTCTCCCCAAACACTTCTTTGGCAAGGGCTACCCTCCCGCATATTAGTATCCGAGGTACCCTCCTGAACTTGGCGTCACTCTGACTCTCACGGCCCATGGTACACGACCCTCGATACCCCACAGTAATGAACCCGCTCTTTCTGTCCGCGGGAACGAGAGAGGGTGGCGGGCACTGCCGGTGGTCGCTACCCTGGGACCCATCTTCATAGTCGCTGTGGAAGTAGTCGTCCGGGCTTTGCTTGATATCCTCAGGGGTGAGCAGCTTCACCAGGTCGGGCAGCTGGAAGTATTCAGCCTCTTTTCTGAGCCTCCCTTTTTCCGGGAAGTGGTCCGGGAGGACAACTTGCTTATCCCGGAGGTAGTCCAACACGTACCGGAATAAAAAGCCATCTCTGTCAATGAAATATCGACCCTTGGGGTCTCTTGCTAAGTCGTTAGATGCGTCTTTTTTAGAAGAAAATAGCTTACCGAGCAGCGAATTCGGGGTGCTCACCAAAGTTGAGTGACGCGTGTAATAAACCTGTCCCCCGACGTTTAATTCAACAACATCTGGGAAACTGTTCTGAACTGATGCCTGCTCTTTGGGATTAGTCCTGCAGTTTAGACTCAGCGCCATCGTTTCCGTCATGAACAGCTCCAAGCAGGCTACACACCTCCTTCAACCACAAGTCTCAAAAAAGAAGGAAAGAAAGAAAAAAGCGATGGGTCGGTGTCAAAAGTTACCCGAGCTGTGCCCCCTGTTATTTTGACGCAGGACCTCCAACTTCATCTCACAGCGATCCGAATGAGCATTTTTCATGGCTGCATTGCCATTATCACCTACCAGTCTTTAACAGTTGTCGAAAATGGAGAGGGAGATGTCACTTCGTAGTCTCGAATAAGCAAAACTGAAATGAGCAACTTGAATGGAGTAAAGAATCGTCGTTGTAAGAGAGGATGAGTGTATTCTGGCGCATCAAAAAGCTGACTGCATTAGTGGTTGTGGGACTCCCTTCGCCTCTGGGAAAAGAGCATTAGCCTACATGGAAAACCAGTGAGTGCTGGAAGAAGGCTATTTGACCGGATGGAGGGGGGGAAAGCACTTGCCTTGCTTGCCTTTTTAGTTTTTGAAAGTAACATCCAATAGAAATATGTCCTTTTCCATAAACGCACGTAACCAGAAAAAAAGTCGAACAACTTATTTTAGAATCTAGCCCGAAATGAAAAAGGTGCAAATGCGACGCTGTCACTTTTCTCTTTTTGTTTTGTTGGGTTTTTTTTTTTTTTTTAACTTCCTTTCAAGAGCAGACGATTTTGAAGGTTGTAGAGACTGACAGGTGGAGGAAAAAAGCCTTTCAGTGACGAGAAACCTCGCAGAGATTGCAAACACAGTCCTCTAATCATTTTGTCTGTAGCTTGTCACAACATCCAGACATGTCGCCTGGTGCGCGCTGATTTAAAGTACCCTCCTATTCATTAAAAAAACACAATAAAACCCATATACGACTCTTTTTCTTTTCTTTTTTTATGTCCTGAAGAGGTGTTAAAACCTCCGTTTGGATTTCTTTTTCTTTCTTTAAAGCAGTAGAAAGGACCGAACCACTGTTGGCTGCATTGCCGGGAACTGTCCGCGGTACTGAAACGAGCATCTCTCTCTCTCTCTCTTTCTCTCTCTCTCTCTCTCTCTCTCTCCCTCAGCCCCTTCCCCCCTCCCTCAGCACACACACACTAACATACACTCTCCTCACTCTCCTTCGCATACACTTGTACCGCCTCCCTTCCCCTACAGAGTTGGGTGGTGTCTTCAGTGTTGCCCCTTCTCTCCTACATGTACCCGCATGCAAACACAGGCATCTGTATAAGTAAACCCCGCATGTGAGCAAAAATCATTTGTCCCTATTTGAATATACAGCACACTAAAGTTTGCTATATTAACCTATGCCATTTGTAATACTAGCACCGCTGTATGCAAATGTGGGGAAACTGGTGCTGTCGTAGGTTAAGGAGCTGCAATGAAAAATATATTTTTTTAAGATTTCCCAGCCGCTTACAGTGCATAGAGGAAGAAATGTTCCATCCATCGCTGTGCCATTATTATAACGAGAGCACAATGCTGTAATTTGACCCGCAGCTTGAATCCATTTGCATGGCATTTAGTTTAAATACATCATTACAGGACACGTTTATTTTACCATAGTGCGTTACTGTCGTGCAACATATTTGCAGCTTCCACTTTAGAACTGTTTTACAAATTGAAATCCAAAGTCCAAATACCTACATTCAAAATTCAGATAAACGCTTGCGAAAAAAGAAATAAAAAAACACATTTGATTTGAAAAATTGTGTGAGCCTTCAGCATTTGCTTTGTAAAATGAACAACAGCGCCTCCCTATGTTTTCCCTCCCAAGTTCCTTTTTCAGTGCCATGGACATATCCTCGCACAGAGAGGTGATGGAATTAGGGGGTGAAAGGTTTTTGGTTTACAGTTAGTGTAAATTAATGCATTTATGCATGCTGCGCTAGTTTTGCATTTGCAAAGTTTCCAGACAGACATTCCAAGGCTTGGATTGTCACTTTTCTGTTTCTGGGGAAGTTTTACAAAGAGAGATCTTTTTTTCTTTCTTTTTTTTCAATCAAAATTTTATGTCATGGGGACAAAAGTAGTCAGCACTATACATGACCATTATACAGAATTCAGTTACTGCATGGTGAAAGTGTTGCAGAACCAAAGAGGGACTTGTGTATAAGAAGTCTGGGTGAGAATGAAGTAGTCTGCTGAATCTCAGAAAGTCCAAATCATTTTTGTATTTTATTGATTGGTTGATTGATTGATTTACGACCTAATGCCTTCAGCAGCCTTTTATTTTCCTTTGGAGCTCATCTGTCCACTTTTAACCAACCTTGCTGTAAGCAAAACTGCATTTTCAGGCATATTCCTTAACTGTTGTGTCCGCCCTACCACTGAGAAAATGATGCCATTACTTTTTTATTTCAGTGCTAATTCTAATTTTCATCAATTTTAACTGTAGCTTAAAGCAACATAGCCACAGAGGCAATCAAATGCAGCAGATAAATTTAAAAAGTAAAGTCACTAAAACATTTATACTGGAATTGATTCTCTTTCATTTGGTATTAATGCACAATCTCATCCTGCATTCAGTGCTTTTAGCGCTATTAATGCCTTTCTATGGGATGCAGTGTCATGTGGGTTTTTTAAAAGCACTTTTAAACTTTTAATCTTGCTTTAACACAACACCCACACCTCACAGGTTTTGCACAACAATTACTGGAAATGAAATTCTTAGAGAGAAAAAAGTGACCATTTGGGTTTTTTATTTTTATTTTTTGGTTTTATTGCTTGAGAATTAAACCACCAGGTTTACCATCAATTTGGCTGTAAAGTCGCACAAAAATTCCTATAAAGTACAATCAATCAAACAGACACGCATACACACACGCAGAAAGAGAGGAGGTGTGCCCAGCTGGGACATCAGCAGTCACCCAGAAGTAGGCCATGTCGGCTGCGTCTTCATAAATACATGTGGGCACTACAACACTCCCCACTGTGGTGCTATTTAAAGAGCAGACGATTGACCACCTGTAAGGAGTTGAACCTGCTTGTGCTGACAAAATTAATTTCACCTTAGCTTTCTTTGTCCCCAAAGAGCACTTGATTCACTGGTGTAGTCTTCCAAAACACACAGCAAAACCTGGTCACCAGACACATTCATCTATGGTTTGTGCACCGTGCCTGCATTTCAGGTCACAATGTACAGTATCAACTTAGGTTTGAATTATTTCAAATAATTTATTTCATTTAAATCCAGAAAATCAGTTTTTGGAAATTATCTTTTGCAGGATTCTGATTTATTCTGTTAGGGTTATAATGTCAAACTTACTGGGTTTTCATAAAACATGCTTGTGCAGTAGTTGCAATTTCCAAATTATGTCCTTGCTCTCCATGTTTTTAAAATCCTTTTAGTTTCACATTAACAAATTAAAAATATACACAAACATTCACTCTGCGAGAACAGCGGCAACATTAATAATTTATGGTTTTTCAGACAGAGACATTATATCACAGAGATTTTTAATTTTTCACTTGAAAAAGAAAGCGACTCGGTGAGCACTCCTCTTCCTTGATACAGATCAACTGGCAGCACAGTTATTTTCTTCCTGTGCAGTGCAGAGAAAACTATTAAAGGGAAATTTTCAGGCCAGTCACAGATGGTTGAAATAAACAGCATACTACTCCCACTTCCATCTCTCATTACAGCCACACCGAATGATGCCAGGCCTTAGATGGGAAATCTGCAAGTACAGCAGGCAGACATTCAATGCATAAATTCAGCCGACTCAGAGAGGACGATGAAAACCTTAGTTATCTCTCAAACGTGTACTTTAACTTTTTTTTATTTACGTATAGACAGCTATTTATTATTTGCAAAATTTCACTAGGAAAAAACTCAAGCATGTTGGCACTGAATCCTGCAAGAGAGCAGTCATTTCAGTCAGATACACGAGGAAAGTGATTATTGGTGTTCTTTAAAGCATATTAGTGTTAGCATCATTTTTGAATTAATCGTTGCTACCAATAGGGAGCCATCAAGTTTATTGAATCACTGTGAAATTAAAGGGCCTGAGAGCAATGTGTGCACTTTTGCTTGTATAACTAATGATGTGGGCAAATAAATCTGCGCAGTCTCATTGCAATAGCCTGACTTCACTTTAATGACAAGTAAAATCAGATTCTATGGCATATGTAATTTTTAGGGTTAACATTCAGTTTAAGGTTAGATTAAGAGTTAATCAGATAGTGGATAGGGTTAGAGTTAGGTTAAGTGGATTATACTATATGGAAGCTAATGTCCTCTAAGGTGAGACGAGGCTGTGTCTGTGTGTGCATGAATGATTTTCTTAAAAACTAAACCGATTAGTCATAAAATTCTGACCACACACAGGTGAAGTGAATAGCAATGATTACCTCTTCATCATGGCAGCTGGTAGTTGGTGGGACACATGAGGGAGCAAGTAAACATTTTGTCCCCACGGGGCAAGCATAAGGATTTTGGCGAGTTTGACAAGGGCCAAATTGTATTGGCTGGACGATTGTCTCAGACCATGTACACCCTTTCATGGAAACCGTATTCCCTGATGCTCGTGACATCTTTCAGCAGGATTTGTGCACTGCCACAAAGATAAAATGGTTTGATGAGCACAACAATGAGTTTTAGCTGTTATCGTGACCTCCAAATTCCCCAGATCTCAATTTACTTAAGCATCCATGGGACATGCTGGACAAACAACTCAAATCCATGGCATCCTGCGTTGCCCACCTCGTAACTTACAGGATGCCACAGCAGACCTCCAGGGGTCTAGTGAAGTCCATTCCTCATCAGGTCAGGGTTGTTTTGGCAGGAAAAGGAGGACCAACACAATATTAGGCAGGTGGTCATATTGTTATGCCTGATCCGTGTATGTATGTATATGTGTGGGAAATGTGAAAAAATACAGCTGGTGGCTTCTATTTTGCATATGACCAGAAGGTGGAATGGCAGAAATTAAGAGCCTGCTCATTGCAAAAACCTTTTATTTTGATGTTGACAATCACCCTGTGGCGAAACACTGCATTAAACAGACTAAAACGTGCCTTTAAACATTGCTGAGCAATTTTTTGGCTTGTTTTAGAAGTACACTAATGAACTCATTATCGTTAAGGAATATTTTGTCTCTCTGATATCAATCTTCAAACATCAATTCAATGAAGTCCTTGTAGGAGTCAGTAACAAGTCCCGATGCCCCAGATTTGGTATCTAAACAAGATATTTTTAGCTGGTTTCAACAAACAGATCTAATGTGGGAGTCAGCTGCACTGAGGAAGTAGACTGAACTGTTTGACACAATCATCATATCTCATGATACAATGTCAGTAATGTGACCCACAAACAATTTTCAGCAGAGAGTAATCCTCTGTGGTTCAAAATGTCAAGACTGACAAATTGAGGGCATGTCTATGAATTTTGACAGTTTTATATCCTCTTGCCAATGGAGCAATATAATTTCAGCAACATGGGATTTTTTTTTTTTTTAGTATTATTCATTTCAGCAGGTTAAAAATGACTTTGGTCTTGGTTTGTGTCACTTTGTTGCTCTACTCTTGAAAACCTCTCCTTATCCAGTCTCTGCACAAGGCCATGAAGCTATTCCCTGCTAAACTAGGCCCACTGCTCTCCCTGGAGACATGGCTAGTTACCAGGAAGCCCACTAAACATTAAGGGCTCTGGCAGCCAGAGCAGAGTGGCTTGGTGAGGGACAGACGAGCAACTCCTGGAGCCAGAATAAGAAGAGGACTGCAAGACACCACAGAGAGCTGGGACGTTGAACGCCTCAGCTTGTCTTTTGGCCAGCAACATAGCAGCAGAGCTGTCATCCCACTCACTAACATTGACGCTGCAGGTGTCTTGTGTGTGTGTGTGTGTGTGTGTGTGTGTGTGTGTGTGTGTGTGTGTGTGTGTGTGTTGCACTACTTTTTGTACAGGAGAAGGCATCAAGCGGGTGGATCCTTGCAGCCAAGTCTAAACAGAGCATCACAATCTAAGATCCAAAGATATTTTGGATG